GTAAGTCCATATAAGGGATCCATTAGGGTTAATTTTTCAAGAACTATTTAAACTCATGTAAGCCATAATTTGAGCAGCTTTGATGATAATTACTTCTGAATTTTTTAGTTTTAACGTATGAGAGTGATTCTTGTATTTTTCAATTCTTAAACGAACTGAATTTGACTTATCGAAGATTAACTAGTTTTGTGGCATCATTCTACTCAATCCAATAGTGTTGGTGCCTTGGAGCAGGTTTCATTGTGTCACACTCCTATCAAACCTATTTCAGGTTTCCAGAATCAAGATCTCAATCTTGATTGTGGGTTGCGTGACCACATAATCATGAGGTTCGCATCACCTAGGTTTCAATATCTAACTCTTCAAAATAGCAACATGGACTGTCAATTTTTTATAATATCAAATTTTATTCTTATTTTTTTATTGTTATTTTTAGCAATAATTGGAGTTTATTTTCACAAAATTAATGTTCAATAAACCTTGAAATGGTATTCAAAATCATGAACATGCAAAAGATTCGAGGTGGGAGAATGTTAAAAACAACCGATGAAAATGCAATGTAAGAAGATAACACAATCCATTATAGATTGCAATAGGTACACATAATCATTTTTTAGCCCTTCAACTTTTTTTTACTCACTAATATTTAAGGTGAGACAAGGGTTGAAAAGTGGGTTTTTTTAAATGTCAAAGAGGTCAGAACTCGAGTTTTTGATGGTTGTTGACCATATTATAAAGCGATATATTATTTACCACCTAGCATGGCTCGTTGTCTCATTTGTTTTTCTTTTTTCTTGAAAAAATGAACAATGTGCTTGTAGGCTTACACATTTAACCTCTTTTTTTCTTTTTTTCCTTTTTAATAATTTTGATGTAATTTCTTAAAAATCCAATAATTTAAAATATATTAGGTATATTCTGTTATTCTACCTAATTAAAAATATAATTTATATATTATTTTATTATATTCCATTTCTAAGGTAAAATTATAGAAATATTTTCAAAATATCAGCAATTGCCCTTTTACATTATAATCATTTTTTAATTCAGTTAATTTACTATGATTGTGTTTTTTCATTATAAGATTAAATAAAGTGAACTTATAAAAAAAATTAGGTCATGAATTTTTCTTGTGTTTTATAATAATAATGGTATTGTCTAAATATTTTTTTGTATTAAAAAGAACTGATATCACCAAGAATTATAACTGAGCACAGGCGCTGGCTCTTATCAAGTTTATTATTATTTTAGACTTGGAGTCTTCCGTCATGAAGCAGTAACAGTTGAGATTTGGTTTAGCTTCATGAGACAAGATTAGAGAAGACCATGCATTTCATCACCTAGAAATCATTTCATCAGGTTTATTACGTTATCATTAATTCAAATAAAAGCAAATGGGGATATGGGGAAGAGATTTTGAAGCTGTGTCGATACACATCCAGTCTAATTAGATTTTCTCAGCCATTTTTATACCAGTACTACCAGTCATGCAGAGATTTTCTGATATGCATCCTTTCCTGCCTCAATCTAATATTTTCTTAATGCTTTGAACAGCAAAATTGAACAACATGTCTGATTTGGTTAGTTGTATTCATTCCTATTAAGTTGTATATGAACTTACTGGTAATTGGTTGGGCAATGAGAAAGTTTTGTAAAACGCAAGTCCTTTCCCAGCAATCACTGACAAGGTAGCAAGTTATTGTGGATTTGGATGTAGATTGCTCAATGCTTGGTATGATTGTAGAGGGTCTTGGTCAGAGATGATGATGCTAGCTACTCTTCTGGCATATGTCCTGAAACCAGAGACTTAACAGGCTAATGTTGCAGCGAATCCTGGTTACGATATCATAAATAGCCCCCAATGTCCCAGTTCATTGTAAATGCAGTCTCTGCAACAGATCATTGGACTTGACTATCAGTCATTCATGATGGCAGCCAGCATGAAAAGATTGGATGCAAATACCAGTAAGTTCGAATACTACATGAATCGGATTTTAATGCTGCGAATTTTGTTTAATTTTACAAACAGGAGGATCGGAAATATTTATTGAAACTAGAAGCTGGTTCTTTTGCTGGTGCAGCTGTAATAAAGCATGGAAACATCCTTTATCGGCCTGAGATAACAAGACCAAACATCTTACAGGCTCTGGTTATGATCAAGAAAAGTCGTCAAGACTGACAAACCACTTTTTCTTGTGTATCTAAGAGATGTTCTTTGACCCATTTGCCATGATAGTAATCTATGTTCATAAACATAATGTTGCAACTGCAGCATTCATAGGGAAGCAACAACGTTCCTCAAGAACGAATCTGAAAACAGTAACTGCCCAAGAGATATCATGAGTTTTCCTGAGATTTGTCTTTGCACCTTCCCTTTTCTTCTCCCTGCTGTCTTTCAGCTGGAAATTGCCTGGAGGCCTTGACCCCCCCAATACTGTGTATTAGGATATTCATTTTCCAGTACTATATAGAAATATTGCAGTTTCATGAGCTTGATTAGCGAGCTAACAACTTTAAGTCAGGCAGTTAAGCGTTCTTGAGGATCATATGAGTTCTTGAATTTGCACAGAAGTATTTCTTGTTCTTGGCTGTCGGTTATATAAGCAGTCATTTTGACTTAATGGCAATAAAAAGGATTCATGGAAGGAAGGTGTGCTAAATGTGATTGAAACTTGACTACATGTGCCATGTTCTTCTAACTGGGAAGCATACACCAGCTACATTGCTGTCAAGATAATGCTGTGGTGCCAGTAATAAATTTCGCAACTTATCTGTAATTATCCATGGACTGCTTGGGTGTGTTTAGTATTGCTGTTCTTGTTGTTGTGATCGTGGTTTGAAAAAAGTTATTTTATAAAAAGTATTTTTAGTTGAGATTGAGTTGAAAAAATATATGTTTGGTTAAAACTATGGTTGAAATTGAGGTTGAACAAAAAATAGTTTAAAGTATTTGGTTAAAAAAATGCTTTTCAAATTGAGGTGTGTGTGTGTATTAATGATTTTTAATTAAATATTGTAGATTTAATTAATGTTATTACATCATGAAATAAATAATATTGATATCAAATATTTTTATTATTCCATTAAATTATATGCAATGTCATCACATACGAAATCTATTTAATAAAGACTATATTTCTCATGGTTTCTTAAGCGCGCAACAACAAAAACTGAATTTTTTGTTATGTCATCAAGCGATCTCCTTCTAATTTTTTGAATAAAATATAATTAAAATAAAAATAAAAACTTAATTTTTTTAACTGAGTCGAACCCGGCAAGAATATAATTGGAATTGCAATCAAATTACACAAATACTGCGTCATCATGTGATATCCTTCTAATTTATATAGTGTTATTAAATAATATTAAATAATAGTTTTTGGAGTAAAACTCAATTTTAAAAAAAAATTACAATTTTATTACGTCCAAAATTCATTCGACAAGAATTACAGTTTTCATAATTTTTTGAGCGTGCAATAAAATTAGATAAAATATTATCAGGAATAAAATTAAGAATACAATATGAGTAAATTTAATTCATCTTAAATTAATTTTTTTAAAAACACAAAAAAAATATTATTATTAGCGTTCATGTGAATAGTAGTTTTTCAAAAAAAATAAACTTTTTACATGAATAGTGCAAGTAAATTAATTAACTCGCACTGATTATTTAAAAAAAAAACTGTTCATTCTAATGAACAGTGGAAGTGCATAAATTCACTCGCACTGTTGACTAAAATAAATAGTGCGGCAGTGGAGCATGGCTCCACTGTTATGTTCCTCCCTCATAATTAAAAAGCAGCAAAATGCTGCTTCTCAAAACCAATTGAAAACCTGTTGCGCAATCTTTAATTTTAGTAGGTTTTACCAATATTTTTTATTTTTTTTCTACATTACCAAATGATATTATGTGTGGCTGTGGGTGAATCTCACCCGCAGCCACCTTACCAAACAACCACTTTAAATCAGTGGCACATTGAAGCAATGAGAAAGTTGACTGCAAATTTAATAATATGAGGTTTTTTTGAAATAATTTTTTTAACTGAAAAATATATAATACCTTATCAAATTTATAAATTATTTTAACTGTATAGAAAAATAAAATAAAAAGAACTAAATTATAAAATTTAATTATTAATCATTTCAATATTAAAAGATAAAATAAAAACAAATATAAAAAAAAATCAAATAAAAAAATGCAGTACAATACAAAAAAATTCAAATAAAAAAATGCAGTACAATACAAATTGTAATGAATATATGTCAATGGTAGTTTTCAAAAATTCAAATAAAAAAAAAAGCAATTCATGAATTGCTATTATAATTCATAATGTAAATAAACAATAATTTCTTTGTATTTTTTTGCTTCTTCCCTGTTAATTAACATCAGTAATAGCGGTGTAGCAGTTAAAAATAAAAAAAAATAATGTCATGAAAAAATATTATTTTAATATATTTTTAAAAAATATTTTAAAAAATAATTATTATTACAATAGCATACTCCAATACTTTTCAAACCTGGCTAAAGTGTACATTACTTTTCAAACCTGGCTAAAAGTGGAGGTAGCTTGCCTCAACTAGTATATTATATGCAAGAAGTGAAAATAAAATAATTTTTTAACCTTTTTTTTATATAAGCAAAACAATCTTTTCGAAAAAAAAAATCCAAACTTAGAATTCACCCACCAACCTGCAATGGCAATAATTCTGTTCATTTAATGGATGTTTGGAAACACAATTATACAATTATATTCATATTTTAAAAAAAATTAAATTTTTTTGTTAAAAATTAATTTTTTATATATTTTAAATTATTTTGATACATTAATTTTTAAAATAATTTTAAAAAATAAAAAAATTTATTTTAATAAAACAACTGAAAACACACTTCCAAATAATCATGCCTTGAAATACAGGGATCATTGAGGCATTTTCATGACATCAAATTGTATGTTTGATCGTTTGCTCAAATACTCATCATATTTCCTGGCCCTTGCTGCTTTAGCCTGCTCATAGAATTCTTCTTTTTGGTGATATCATAGAAATTATTGTGTTTGCTGGCAGCAGCTCTAACCAGCTCATAGAATGCAATTTTACACTTGAAGATGCTAATCTATATCAATTTGTCTAGAGTTGAATTTACAAGGAAAAAAGAAGAAGAAAGAAATGAAAGATTCTCCACCAGGTTGCTATTGAATTTTTCTTCAACACAATGCCGAGAGACGTCTATTTAAGCAATCAGAGTAAATGAATGCTTAGTCCTTAAAGCTAAATGGTACAAAAAATCTACGGCTAATGTAAAGCTCAAAGGCTGCTACTATTGTGACTCCGGATGTCACCACCAACTTAGAGGTTGTCCTTCAGCCATTTCAGAGCACCGTTTGTAAGAGACCTGTAAATGTCACTGCTTATATGGATTAATGCTTATATATGTGTGTGTGGGCATGCATGCGGGCCAATTTGTATCCGGCGCAGGCAAGCAAATAAATGAAGAAAAGAAAACTGTTGAAATAAATACCATAGGAAATCAACATGACAGAAATCAAAATGCAGTGCAGTTAATGGTTTCCTTTTGAAAATATAAAGCCTTGCGATATGAATTCATTCAAATATTTATATAGATAAGGCAGAACTTCTTAAGCATGGATGCTCACATAATCTAGTGAAGAGTTTTAATTAGCATAGGTCATTTTGGTCTCCTGATGCTTTAAGAATTGAAAGAATAGGTCACAAAGGGCAGGTGACAACTGCCCAGATTTTAAGAAAGAATGGCTCCTAAAAAGATACAGAGCAGCATGCAGCGATGGGCGAGTAAACCAACAGACAAATGCAGTTACAGTGATAAAATTCAACAGGTTAAAGGATATGAAAAACAATATTACCCTGCAAAATCTTTCAACTTCTGCCATGGGTCATTTTGATCTCTTGATTCTTCAGTTGTCTCAGAAACAGTTTCCACCTTGCGTTCCTGATCTCTGGCTGCAGAAACAAAACAAATGGCATACTCATCTTGCATTACACCAGACAATACACATTAATAAAATTAAAATAAAATATAGGAATATTTGTCTATTCCATTCACAAACAAAATAATAAAACTCGTCATGTTCATGTATATTTCAGATAGTCAAATCCTACCCAAGGAATATGTTATTTTTGTCATTATTTCAGGAGAGAGAGAAAAACATATATTAGACAAATTACAAATATCAAACACTTGGCACTTCGTGAATTGGATAGCATGATATCATCTACAAATAGCAAACAATTGCTTACTGGCAGGCTGAGTTTTGAGCCGAGTTCGTGATCGAGTGACATTTTTATTACTCAGTGAAGCAAGTTCTTCAAGCAATTCACGTTCTTTGGCACTGATAAACATAAGCAACACTTTGGAGTTAAGCTCAAGTAAAGATGTTAATTATGTGTTTGACAGTATGTAAAGATGCAAATTCTTAACACCAAAATATGATCACAAGAAGCATCAAAATAAATGAGAAGAGGAGTTTATAACAACAGAGCTGCAATTAAGCACTATGTTAAGCAATAATTATCAGTCAAGCTTAGTAATATAAACAAAAGATAAAAGATAAAATAAATACAATGAAAATTACCCATTAATATGTTATTAATTACAATGAAACAGAAATTATCAGTTTTATACTGAACATATGGAGCCCATCTTATCATTGTCAAACAAGATAAGAACCTAAATCACCATTTCAGCCCAAAGCTCACAATGTAAATTAAAAAGAATATTGCATATATCAAACTTAAACTACACCAAATCAGCCATTATCAGTTTCCCATCAACCATCATATAGCCTGTCTTATCAAGAAATAGATCATTGTGAGCTTCAAACAAGCAGAAACCTAAAACACCATTTTAATGGTTAAAAAAATGAAACTGAAAAGGGCTAATAAAGATCAAACAGCAAAACAAAAGCCAAACTGAAAACTACAAAAAATATGGCATCAGAGAATAAGAATTAAAACATAACAATAAAAGTTATTATTGTGATATTGACCAGATGATAAAAAGAAAATAAGTCCATACCTTATACGCTTTGGTATTGTAACTTTAATAGTAAATAAGTGATCACCGCGGATGGATGGTTTATTCAGTTTAGGTGCACCTTTCTTAGCTAGGACTAACACATCCCCTGGCTGTGTACCAGGTGGAATCTGAAGCTCACTCATTCCTTCAACTGTTTTCACCTGTTTTAAATGCAGAAATCACAATTCAGTGTGCACAGAGATTTTGTATTATTCAGCCTTCTTAACATTGTATGCTGACAAGCTAAATATGCAGAGAGTTAAAGGACCAAATTAAAAAATTGTCATTGCAAAGGAAAGAATCAAAAGATGACATGTTAAAATCAGGGTCTTCTAGCATAACGGTCTTCACTCTACCCTAGAATTGTTCTAGGCACGGATCCATGTGTTTATTACACCAATCCACGTGGACGATTATTTCTCTCTAGAGATTTTCAGGAAACAAAAAAATGGATGAAGTTGGAAAGGTCTTGTAGCAACTGAATCTCATTTGCATACATTTATGCACAAATAGGGATTCTGGCTCCATTGGACCATCCTCAAATAGTTTCAACTTTTTATCAAAAAAGAACAATAGAAGTTTCTCTTCTTATGCATGTAAAACTTTTCCAAGAAGAAAGTTGACTTGAGCTCAAACATTATCTGGAGGAGACCATCAACTAATCGGGCTCAACATTTACAGACCACTTCAATAATCAATCAGCATAAGTTTTACTGTGAAACCATAAAGAAAAAAAGAATAAAAAATAGAAGCCCCATCTGCTGGTCTCTGTAATTTTACAACTCCTCTGGATTCTGGTAGTTGAGGTGATTTTGACCAATAAAAGAGTATTTTTAAAATGGTCCAGAATGTGACAGTGAAAAGGGTCACGCTCTGCAATTCAGTATCATAGTTCCACTCCTACGCAAAAGCAAGATTTTCTAATGTGTTATCTTTTGCAGTGGTGCACAAAATGAATATTTTATCTGCTTAATGTTTCATCAACTTAAATACTATCACTAGTTTAGATGAACAAAAGTAAAAAATTAAGGCATGCATAGATCTAACTGAGATGATAAAAATATGACCTTAGCAACAGTCCCCAGTATTGCATCAGCATAACTGATAGATATTGTTGAGGTGAGATTAATGCCATCTCTTTGGATTCCTGTTATCTCTTCAACATCAAGATACACATAAAGATCCCCTAGAGGACCACTGCAAAAATCAAAATCAATTACTGATTTAGAATCAAGTTCAGTGTGAAACCTTCAGAAGATATACATGTAAACATTAGGTGATCAGTTGTGACGCTTAAGGAAAAACAAAATGCAGTGATAAACATAAAGGAAAGAAAAAAGGTGAGCTGATGAATGCAAGGAGAATACATTTTGCAAATTTATTCATAATTTTATATTTAGGAATTTTCTACCATTATTCAGGAAAAAAGTTTATTTCATCCAGTAATTATTGACTAGGAGCGTTAGTCTATTTCCTAATTTAATTAAGACTCTTTAACGTCCTTATGTGCTTGTATATTGCATAAATACACATGTTCTATGTATTTTGGAGATGATTTGGTGAATGAATCTTCAGATTCAAGGTTTTCAATCTTTTTGCCATAAGCTCTACATCATCAAGAGGAAATGGCATAAGAAAACATAGATGATGAGTTGGAACTCTTGATCAGTATCACATGAATCTTCTGTTCCAGTGACAAGTAGAACAATTAAATCAAAAGAACCTTTAAGCCTACATCACATTCACAAGACCACTTTATAACAGCACCTATTAGTGAACTCACTGCAATGCAGACAATGAGAACAACTGCAACTCATGAAATTAGCAGGATGCCAACAAATCAATCTAAAAACACACCAGAATAGCATTTACTAATATTTAAGCACATATTTCAGAAAAGAAAAGCAAAAAAAATTGATTTCAAATTTAGCACATAGATCTGAATGATGTATCATTTTCAAGTTGATTCATATCAATTAGAATATCAGTTACCACATCAACAAGCAGTTCGCTGTTTCATTTTAAGTCTGACATATAATGCATTAGGACACAGTATAATGTGCTATTTCGCTTGCGAGTTTAATTCTTGATTCCTCTTAGCAATTAGTTATCACCCATTTGTTCACTGTAGCCATTTATAATCAAGTCATGTACATATTTGAGAAGCATTAATCAAAAGCAAACATATCTTGCAGAGACAAAATAAAAACAAATTCCTCGCAATGATTTGCTAAAGAACAAGATGAAGATTGAAGATAGAAAGAGACAGGTTTAATTGACATACCCTCTTGGTCCAGCATCACCCTCTCCGGCTACTCTTAGGATACTGCCTGCACCAACTCCTGGAGGGACCTTGACTTTGATATTTTTCTTAACACGAATACGCCCCTCACCAGAGCATTTTCGACAGTATTCAGAAATGACTTCGCCATCCCCACCACAATTGGGACAGACAGAAACCTAATACACAATAAGATGGACATTGTAAGTCACTGAGAAGGGAAAAGAAAGATGGATCTTACAAAGAATAACGCATGATAAACCATTCATAAAAATTGTTATAAGCAAAATACAAGAATAATAAAGAAGAAAAATCACAAAATTTATTAACTTATCAATTTTCTATTATCTAATCTGCAATTCAATTTTTTCTTAGATTCTTCTTATGTAATGCATGAAGTCACAACACATTCCATATTATGTTCATGTGATATTTTCTACTATAGTTTTACTACAGAAAAGTTCTTGAACCAAATAACATCACTCCAGCAAGGTGCCCCTCTAATGTTTAGCATATTTTCAAGCCATATAACCTGCTCAATGCTGCTGTTGCTACCTTTATCACATGAGAATTCATTCATGCACCATCCCATCCACCCATTTATTAAATGTCCTCTTTTTTCCTGATTTCTAAAAAAAGAAACTAGCAAGAACTTATTCTGCTTTCCTCGGAGCCTATTAATATAGCTTGCCGGGAATAGAGCATATTTCCATGAACTCTGTTTATTTCCTAGATCTAAAGATCATAGTTCGTATGGATTCACAATCATATTGTTTGAGGAAAAAAGATATTTTGAGAAATTGTGGATTTAGGCAGCTATTTTGTTGAAAAGCAGCCCACCCCACCTTCCATTCATTTTGATAGCAGACAATTATTTGCAGTTTTTAGAACTACCCAGAGCATCATAGTGATGCTCAAACCTTGTGGAAGTAAGCTATGGAAATGTTGAGAAAGCTCCAATTCAAGAAAAGATTTGATTAGACTTTTGGAATTTCGTTTTTATATACAAATTTTCACATCATGTGAGAATAGCAGTGATGAACAGTCCAGAAAGCTCAAAAGAAGTATGCCCTATTACCTGTGAGAACAAGCCAAAGGGAGTTTGCTCAGTTCTCATAACTTGACCCCTGCCACCACAGGTTGAGCATATCCTCATCTTGGAACCCATTTTTGCTCCCGTACCAGCACAAACTTCACATGTCTCCAAATGAGAAAGCTCAAACTCCTTTTCTGCTCCGAATATGGCCTCAGAGAATTCTAAACTAATGTCATAGCTGAAACAATAAATTTAGCTGTTAGCAATCAACAGCAATTCCAGTATAAACTTGAGGACTATCAAATACCAGTAAATATTAATTTACAAACAGTAGCCTTAACAAGGTGCTATTACAAGAATCACATGTCATTTCAAATCAATGTGTGAACCTACATCATTAAAGCCACTTATGCAGATCTGCTTTGTTTGTTTCCACAACTCAAGAAATAATCAGACAACAACAAGGTTTTCATGGAACACGACATTATACAATCAAAATTCCAGTAAGGAAAATGCCAGAAATTCTAAAAGGCACGCTGTGTTGGTTTGGTTCAGTTATCATTTGACTAGAGTTTAGAAATCTGTTACTTTGATGTCAGCTCCCAGAAAGCTGGCCAAAATATACTGAATTCTAGTTAGAAGTTGTAGGGGATTGGAAGATTTAAAGGAGAGAGAGAGAGTTGTTGTAATAACGCTTGAGAAGTGTCTTTGGAAAAACCTGCACTGAGCTGAAATAGGATTAACAAACAAGTAGACCCCACAATTGACCAAAAAAGCAGAGTCATTCAGTGTGATTTATGGGTGCTTTCAATATGTCAGTCCCTCACTTGGTCTATTTCTAGCTGAAGTGGAATTAACACACATATGATACCACAACAATCTCCATTCACATGCAAGTCCCATCCACATGAAGCAAGATTCTCTTTCAAATGAAAACTTTTGATGGTCCAAGTGTCACAGCAGATCCAAGAGCTTGCAAGCATAGGAGTCGACTCTCAACCATGAGATAGCTGACCACTAATTACTCCATCTTGCTCAATATGAGTCACGCATGCTTTCGAATCACTTGAACATAGGAAAGAAAAACAACCACAGGAGTTGCTGCATTATTGCATCAACCACTCACCCAACCATGACTCTTCAGCTATAACATCATTCATTGTCCACAGGGGGGTAACCTTTGGGTAAAACTAGCACAAAGCCCAGATGACTCTAGTTTAAAGGTTGGAAATCACAGGCTGAAATCCTTGTGTATTTGGCTCTTACTTCCCCACTTTATGCTGATGTTAATTAACTTGCCTAATGGGGAATTAACTCACATAACCAGACAACCACAATTTAAGAAATGGATATCACTTTCATATTAGCTCAACTATAAAACAGTTACAGACAATGAGAGTAACAAACAAACAAACAAAACAAAACAAAAGGATAGAGAGAAGAAGGATGGGGAATTAAAAGGCAAGCTAAATCAATTTATATGGCATCCAGCTGATATTATCAAGCAAATTTATCTTCAAGTCACCTTCTATAGGTCAACTTTATTCGAAGAAAAACCTTAATCCCAAAATGAGAGGTAACTTGAGCATTAATATACTCCGATGCTTGTTCTTTAATCACCAAGTTCTGTTTTGCGATAAAACCAGTTAGTCTTAAATACGGGGAAAAAATCGAGCCAATTAGCTGGTAGAGCTTTTATACATGTGCACAGTGTGAGTCTCTAACCGTGATTTTCTTAGTTTATTTTTCCCTGATATCTTTTTTCTTTCTATCACTTGGAGGTACATTTCGTGTTAGAGATATCAATGAAACAGGGCTACAATTAACAAGCGCAGGTTTAGACATGTTAAAAGATAAGTCTTTTATTGTAACCAAACTGGACCACACTAGTGGTATCCTACTATACATCCAGGCTACATCAAATGAAACAAATGCCAGGACCATCAGCCAGCATAGTGAAAAAAGAAAAGAAAAGGAAAAGAAAAGATGTACACAAATATTAACTTACCGAATGTCTTCGCCCTTAGTAACAGTACTACGACGGCGTGTATTGAACCCAGTTTGTTCCATGCCAGGAAAACCACCCATGCTCGGCCCAAAGAATGTCTCAAATAGGTCAAAAGGATTAGTCTGTAGAAGGAAAAGTAATTTTGTAAGATACATTGAACTTTATAGCTGTGTAGAAGATGGGTGTAACCTAGTTTAATAACATATACATGTGTAAGGTGGGATCCATTGTCGTTTGCTACTTTAAATGTTGGCATACATATAGGCAAAAGTTTCCTAGTTTAAATGTTTGCATGTATATGGACAAAAATTGGAATGCCATGCGTAAGGTCATTGAAGCAAAACTAGCTGGCATAGTGGAGAACATCAGCGCTAGGAAGCCCTTCTAATAATTGATCCCACAATAGAAGAGTAATAATGGGTGCTGCATGAGATTCCAAAAGGCGCTGGACAGGAAACCTAGTTGATTCCTGATATATACCAACTTTTCACCAGATTATTATCAGGAAAAAAAATGGAAAAAAAAAAGAAGAAATGGAGAAAGAACTAAAGAACAAAAATTGATGCAATACCGTATAAGCACTTGAGGGTCCCCCTACTGTACTTTTAACTCCAGCTTCACCGTATTGATCATACAGAGCCCTCTTTTTATCATCTGATAGCACCTGACAATATTATACTTCAGAATTCAAACGACAGCATGATAAATGCAAAAGCTTCAAAAGAAAAATGCACTTCAAGCAAGCAACAACAGAAGAAGAAAAATTGGACCAACAGAAGTAAAATGAAAATGATTGATATAGGCCAAAGGGTTTTTATATGATTAGTGAGATTATGGAAAAGGGTGTTGTGATAGGTAAGAATGATGATGAGCAAAGACTATAACGCAACAAATGACACTAACTCTGGATAGACTTTCAACATTTAATATCAGAAGGTAAAAACCAGATGTTATATGTTTAGAAAAAAATCAATATATCAAATAATTAGCATCCATCTACCAAGGAAAAGATTGATTAAGGCTTACTAGTTTATTGGGCCATGCTATGCTACGTGTTAGATATAGGGAAAAAAAAAACTTTTGAAACATAAAAAAAATATCCAAGCCAAGGGAACTATTTGGCATTCCTAGCAGGTCAACCTTGAAACCTACCACTCATGTCAGGTCAACCTTGAAACCTACCAACTCATGTCAGGTCAACCTTGAAACCTACCAACTCATGTCCTTGTCAAACACAAGTTTAAAATTAAACCGTGTTGCTCTAACATAACCAGGTCGACTTGGCAGGTTCAAAGGCAATCAAGCAACCCGCTTCCTTGTCTAGCACAGGTTTAAAATTAAATTGTGTTAGAATTGCCATGATGTAACTCAGTCAACTTGGCAGGTCCAAAAACAACTATGATGACAGATAAAAAATATGGTTTGACTTATAAAAAAACTAAAGAATACAATTCTTTTAATATTGAGATAGAGACATATTAAATCGACTTGAGCTTCATGGCTTAACAGTCAAACTCATGACATGGGTCATAAACTCCACAAGGTTTCATTACTTTTTTTATAAAAAAAAGGAGGGGGGGTGGGTAAGGATAAAAAAGGGGGAGGGGGCTCCTTAACTGGGAGGTGAGTCATCCCCCACTCCTTTTAGTGTTTAGTAGAATGATCAACCCGGCTTGGTATTAGATCCATGAATGATAAATAAGTGAGAAATGTAGAAATACAGTAAAACATCCAGTACCCCACCCAAACAAGTCAAGAAATGTAGCAAGATGCATGACATGGTTTATTAAGAGCATTATCGATAATGAAAACCTGCCCAGACATAAAACTCGTCAGTTTGGATACTACAACACAACAATTTAGTCAATATGCTGTCTTGAAAATTCAAGGGCAAATTTTGGATTTGATTTCTTATACATACCTCATACGCAGAACTAATCTCCTTAAACTTTTCAGTTGCTCCTGGTTCCTTGTTGACATCAGGGTGGTACTGAAATTATTGTAAAAGTTAAAGCAATCCTTGACAAAATAGATGTTTGAGGCTGTCTTCAAATTTCTACCAGGATGCAAGCCCAGCCCCACCCACCAAAGAAAAAGAAGAGAGAATAGAGAAGACAATCGAACTATCAATAATCCTTGCATAGCAGTGCAATCATCAACACAGTTGCTTCTCATTGATGATTATAGCACATCTAGTGAAGTTAAAGCACATTGTAAATAAGATAACAAATGGAAGCAAGATGTGCATTCTAATTTGCAATGGTAGGATTATCTCTATCATTTGCCTTATAGCTGACAATTGGCCATCTACAGGCACTCGTAAGTGGCTGGTATATGCTCGGAACATAAGAGAGGATGCCCTTGGATATCATTTTCTTGAGATATTTTTACATGAGGACTCATAGATGACAAGCATGTCCGCATTGGGACATTCAGGATGCCAATCGACAACTTTAACCACAACAAGATCCTTGAGGGTAAATCCGCCTCCTTGGACTGAAGATTGCATGTGGATGTCTGACAGATCCATCTATATTGCTCTTCTTCTGACCAAGAAACTTTTAAGAAATGATTTTAAGAGCCTACGATCACTTAAATTTTAAGACTGTGAAGTTATGGACAACATTCTCAGTCTTTCCAAATCCTGCTAAATCTCATAAGAGACAACATAATATCCTGATATAGCATTTCTGAAAACCATAAAATAAAATGGACCAGGGAAATATAACCACGGTGCTTCTTCATTAGGACGATCACAGATCCCTATAAAGCGGATTTCATAAAGGCCTGAGTATCATGAATTTATAAAAATGCATGCTTTGAATTGTACCAAAAAGCATAGCTTTAACACACTACCATGTGCATAGGACGAGGCTGCAGTTCAAAGAAAAAAGCATGAAGGATTACCGTACTATTCAAAGATGAATTATCCAAAACTCAATAACCAACAACAATTCAGAGCTTCTACTCACATTAATCCTCAGCCCACAAATCCAAAAGAACAATCAAGTAACAATCAAGAACCCATTTTTTATTCATGTTGGCATCTGAAGAACCTTGAAAGGAACCAGAATCTTCCGATTCCATAATCTCTTCAAATCAGTAAAAGTTAACAACTTTGTAAATTCAATCCCCATCAAGAACTTGTTGCTGCTATTCGTTCACATTTCCCAGAAAGCCAAGAATAAAATGAAATCATATTTTTCAAGAAGGCCCAAGATTGTGAGGTGGTTACCTGACGAGCTAACCTTCGATAAGCAGCTTTGATTTCTTTACTGGTAGCAGATTTGGGGACCCCAAGAGTAGCATAGTAATCCCCAGAAGCGTAGACGAAAGGCCCAGGACCACTGGTATAGGCCTTTGTCTTGGTCTTGCTGAACCTCACAGTTAATATGGGTGGAGAAGCAAACTTCTTACCTGTAAAGAAAGAAGAAGAAGAAGAAGATGGCAGTGATGGTGAAGAGAAGGTTAGCGAGGGGCGGAGGGAAAGGGTTGCTGTTGTCGCAGTGGCAGTGATGGCCATTGAAGAGACGTAGCAAGAAGATGGGTTTAGGACAGGTTTCTGGGCTTGCTCCCCATGGCCATCATTTCGTTGTGATTTTGTATGGTGAAGGATGGATGAGTGGAGGGGGAGGTGGTGGGAATGAGAAAAAAAAAATGGAAAAATTATGTAAAAATAGAAAATTAAAAAAATAATAATAATTAAAAAAACCAATAGAAAAGAATCATAATTAAATTTATGTTTAATTAATTTTTATTTTATAAATTTAAAATAAAAAACTCAACCCAAATCGAAAAAAATAACTAAATTAAAAAAAAATCAAAAATAAATCAAGTTAAACTAGAAAAATAAAGCAAAATTGATTTTATTTTAAAATAATTGAGTTAAACTAAAATTTATGAATTTAAATTAAATTCAATTCAGTTTTAATTTAAAAATTAAATTCAAGTCAGTTTTAATTTGAAAAAAAAATTAATTTAAATATTTTTTTAATAAAAATCATACCAAATTAAGAATAATTGCATGTTGAGTTTGAGGGTCCGTTTGTGTTGCTTTCCCGTGCTAGCTAGCTAAGAGGCACTTGCCACAATATCATCACACCGTTTGCCATCACATTGAGACACACTTGTTCAAGTTATGTCCATTAATGGAAATGCAGCGTGTTTGGTGCTGGGAAGCCACGCTGGACTTTTGTTGTCTTCCTCGGCTTATTGAGAAAAATAGGTTTAAAAATAATATAGATTATTTTTTAATTTAATTTTCATAATTTAAACTAATTAATAGAATAAAATAATATAAGTTGTTGTAAATTTTAAATTTATAAAGATTTTACTTTAAAAGATGTTAAAGAATAAAATTTTTAAATAAGATGGAGAGCTAATATTATTATTAAGGGTGTTTTTGGAATACTATTTTTAATTTTCAATTTAAAGTGGAATTACTTGGTAAATTAGAGGGTCTCTTTTCTAATTTATTTTTGTTTATTTTTAAATAATTAGATTTTAAATAAAATTGAAATTAACATCCTCAAAAAAATTCTAAAATAAGAAATTAATTTAACTCTTGGAATTGAATTTAATTCCAGTAGTTCTTGTTAAAAAAAAATAATTTGTTTTGATGTGTTATTGTTAAAAATAAAAAAAATCTAAAAAAATATTATCTTTATGTATTTTTAATAAAAAAAACTTAGTGCCACCTTATATATTACATAATATATTACAATTGTGTATTTATATGTTTGGTAATGTGATAGATGGTTTTTTTCAAAAGTAATTTTTAATTAAAATATATTATAATTATTTTTTTATAGTTTTTTATTTTGACATCATAAAAGCACTTAAAATAAATATAGATTTAATAATTTTTAAGTAAAAAATAATGTAAAAAAGTGAGTTAAACGTTTTAGTAACGAGGCCTAATAAATTCAATGAACTGAATCAATGGTGTTTTTCTATGTTCAAATTCCTTTTGAGATTGTGAAAAGGAGACTTTATATTATCTAATTTATAAACATCTCTTATCATTAAATAAAAAAACAAAAAAAACAAAAAAACAAAAATAAATTACTGTCAATCAACATGAGAAATTTTATAACACTTAAGAGTAATTATTGAAATTTAAGTTGTTATATAGTATAATTTTTAAAAATTGATTTAATTTTCAAAAAACTTTTTAGCACATGAATATAAAATATATCGAGAAATAACCTTCAACTTAAATTAAAAAAAATTCAAAATTTAATGAAAAGTTAAATTTTTTTACTTTCAAATTTATTTATATCTCCCCTAAAAAAATTGTTTAAGTTGTTTTTTTGTGAAAAAACTTCTAATTAAAATTTTTTTACAGATAAAAAGCACCATGCCATGATTTTTTTAATTAAAATTTGTTTTTTTATATAATGCTAGTTTTATATTTTTTTAAAAAAAATCATTCTTATAATATAAAAGACATGAATAAGGAAGGAGGGTTTTGGCTAAGAAAATAATTTTTTTCTCATTTATTTAAATCATTTGAATTCTTTAGAATTTTAATTTTAATTCCACTACGTTTTTATTCAAAAAATCATGCTACTTATAAAAAATATGTTTTTTCATAAAAAAATGCGATGACAAGAAAATGAGATTTTAACTAAAAAATATGCTTTTTTCTTTAATTTAAATCATTTGAATTCTTAAAAATATTTATTCTGATCACCACAAAATTAAATAAAAACATATTTCAGGAATCGTCTCGCAAGAGCACATGAGCATACAGCTATCATTATTGAATTATAAACTTTGTAAACTACAAGGACTAGAATGTAAAAAAGTTGGCACTGTAGGGTGAATGGATAATAAAATATGGGTAATGAATTTTGAATGGTAAAAATACATGTCGCAAATTACTGAGAACAAAATATAAAAAATGTCAAATGTACGGTGGCTAAATAATAAAATACTAAGCATGTGCTCTATGTCTGTATGTTTTCTACAAAAAAATGATATTTAAAAATAATATCTATATATTGCAAACATGTTTTAAACAAATAAGAGAAATTAATAATTTGAGTTATAGCACCAACTAAAATTAATGAATTGGTTTTATTTTAATTATACGGTATAAAAAAATAATATTAATTGGATTTTTTAAAAAAAATATCATGGTATCTTAGGGAAAAAAAACAATGAAAGCACTAAAATGGATAAAACAAAGGATAAAAAATTAGACTTGGTCAATAAAAAAAATGGTGAAATTATTAACAACTCAAAATGATTTAAAATAAAAAAATGGTGAAGGAAACGAGGGTAAAAACTAAAATAAAAAATAAATTAAAGGGGAGTTAATTTTTTTATTTAAACTTTTAACCTAAAAGAAAAATAGCTCGAGCAAAAAAAATGAAAAAAGAATAAAACACTATAAATCTAGATTGCAGGCTAAGATAAAAAAACTAATAAAATTTTTATAAAAAAAATTGAAAAAAAAAATAAATATAAAAATATAAATAAAAAATGAAAAATTGACAAAAACAATTACAAAAAAAAAAGAACAACTTTTGATTGGGGGTTAAACTAAAGAGAAAAATGATTTATATACTAAAACGCATCATTTCAAGGTTATTTTGATTTTGATTATTATTATTATTATTATTATTACCACTATTGCTATTATAAATATCATTATTAATAATATTATTATCACAATTATTATTATTATTATTATTATTATTGCTGCTATTATTATAACAAAATGATATTATTATTGAATTTATTAATATTTTGTTCACTATTTATTGTGTTGATAGTATCATAATTATAATTATTATTGATATTATTTCTTCTATGATTATCACTACCACTACTATTATTATTATCGTTATTATTGCTTTAACTACTGTTATGATTATCATTGTTGTTGTTGTTGTTGTTGTTGTTGTTGTTGTTGTTGTTGTTGTTGTTGTTGTTGTTGTTGTTGTTGTTGTTGTTGTTGTTGTTGTTGTTGTTGTTGTTGTTGTTGTTGTTGTTGTTGTTGTTGTTGTTGTTGTTGTTGTTGTTGTTGCTGCTCCTGCTTTAACTACTACTACAGTTATTATTATTACCATTGTTGTTGTTATTACTATCATAGCAAAAATCATACACTTGTTTTTTAGTGTAAAATTATTATTATTTATTGTTATTATCATTGTTACTGTCACTATTACTATTAGTAGGATTATTTTCATTTTCATTTTTATCATTGATATTTTTATTAATATGATTACTGTCATAATTGTTAATATTGTCATCGCAATCATTGCCATAACTAGCATTATTACGATCATGATAAATTATATCATTATTGTTATTATCACCATTGATAACATTATTATTATTATTATCATTATTAATAGTATTATTACCAATATTATTATTATTACTGCTACTGTTACTATTACTACTACTATTATTGTTGTTGTTGTTGTTGGAAAAACAAAAATCTTGAATTTGATTTAAATAATAAAATTGAAAACCATGAAAACATTGCAAAAGAATCAAGAAATCATAAAAAGAAAGATCAAATTATTATTTTATCATTAAAAAAACAAAATTCACAAACTTAACTTCAATGATAAAATTGAAAGCATAAAAACTTTGAAAAAAAAATTAAACAAAATAAAAAATAGAAGGGTCGAATAGAAAAATATTTATATATATAAAAATCATAATTGAAGAATTAAATTGAAAAATAATAAAATTGTAACAAAAGGAAAAAAAACAAAAATAAACAATCATAAAAGAAAGAATTGAACCTGAAAAGCAATAAAAATAAAGACCATAATGTATATCTCATTACATGATAGATAAATAAAAATGGTGATAAAAGAAAGAGCCACCAAATATAAATTAATCATTTTTGTATGACTCGTTTTGGCTATAAATGAAAGGGATATGATAGATAACAAAATGAGATAGTGGACAGTGATTTTCTACCATTAGGGAGTGTTGTACATGTCACTCAAAGCGAGTGGTACTACTTATGTGTTAGCATATTAAAAGTATACACCAGTAATTTTTTAATTAAAAAATATCAATGTAATGTTAAATACACCATCACCCTTAACCAACCCCATTAATTATATATATATACAGAAAAGAAGATGTTAATACCTCTATACACACGATGTGTATTTTTTTTGCCTCAATAACAATTATGTAATTGTGCTATCCCATTTAAAAAAAAAATACTAAAACACTCTTGATCCTTGTCGAACAATATTAATTTTTTGTTATTCCCGGGTTAGTTTTAATATACTTAATCAAACCACTATTATAAATTATTATAAAAATATACTAATAGGCATCGACTCCACTATTTTATTTTATTTTTTAATTTTGATTGTTTTTCTCCTTTATTAGATCTCTGTGGCCAAATTAATAACTAATTTCTTATAAATAGTTGCATAAAGTAAATAATAGAAAACAAGGATCAAAATGTGTAACATAGAAAACCCGTGTGACCATTCTAAATTTCATGTGAAAAAGCTCACTTCAGTCCCTTATTATTTTTTGTTTGCCTTTTTAACTCTATTAATTTTTATAATTTTATTTTTTATTCATAACTTCATGATGTTTATTTATTTTTTGATTTGAGAGAATGGAGAGAAAGTTGCTAGAAAATAAACAAGAAGAGAGAAAGTTATTGGCAGAGCCCATTTCTAGTGGCAAAAAACATTAATTTTAGTGTCAATTAGTTCTATTCAATAAAAAAAATTCCTTTGGCATGTTGTTTGTCTCTTATCTTGTTGTAAAAAATAGATTAGTGTTGAGAAATGTTTTTTCTTTATTTGATTTTGTATTTTTTGATTGATTTTAATGTTTTTTCACTTGATAAGTTGATTTATCAAGGAGTTAATGGCGTTTATTAGATTTTTTATATTAAAATAGATTGAAAAATAAATTTATAATTAACAAAACTTTGATTTTTTAGCTACCTTCGAGGTGTATGGAATCTGAAATATAACTACGTATATTTAGTCCTATTTAACTATTTGATCAAACATTTAACTTTGATCTTTTTTTGTATTTTTTATTGGATTTAAATTTAAATAAATTATAAAAAATTGACTTGATATTTTAATTATTATTCAATTTTTTAATGCTTCTCTAATGAATTTCTAGGTTTAAATAAATAAATGTCAATCAACATGAGAAATTTTATAACACTTAAGAGTAATTATTGAAATTTAAGTTGTTATATAGTATAATTTTTAAAAATTGATTTAATTTTTTAAAAAACTTTTTAGCACATGAATATAAAATATATCGAGAAATAACCTTCAACTTAAATTAAAAAAATTTCAAAATTTAATGAAAAGTTAAATTTTTTTACTTTCAAATTTATTTATATCTCCCCTGAAAAAATTGTTTAAGTTGTTTTTTTGTGAAAAAACTTCAAATTAAAATTTTTTTACAGATAAAAAGTACCATGCCATGATTTTTTTAATTAAAATTTGTTTTTTTATATAATGCTAGTTTTATATTTTTTAAAAAAAAATCATTCTTATAGTATAAAAGACATGAATAAGGAAGGAGGGTTTTGGCTAAGAAAATAATTTTTTTCTCATTTATTTAAATCATTTGAATTCTTTAGAATTTTAATTTTAATTACACTACGTTTTATTCAAAAAATCATGCTACTTATAAAAAATATGTTTTTTCATAAAAAAATGCGATGACAAGAAAATGAGATTTTAACTAAAAAATATTATTATTGCTATTATTATAACAAAATGATATTATTATTGAATTTATTAATATTTTTCTAACTATTTATTGTGTTGATAGTGTCATAATCATAATCATAATTATTGTTAATATTATTTATTTTATGATTACCATCGCCACTACTATTATTATTATCTCTATTATTGCTCTAACTACTGTTATGATTATTATTGTTGTTGTTGTTGGCATTATTATTATTATTATTATTATTATTATTATTATTATTACTATTATCATTATCATTAATATTATTACTTTTATTGTTGTTGTTGCTCTTACTTCAACTACTACTACAGTCACTATTATTATTATTATTATTACCATTGTTGTTGTTATTGCTATCATAGCAAAAATCATACACTTGTTTTTTAGTGTAAAATTATTATTATTTATTATTATTATCATTGTTACTATCACTATTGCTATTAGTATGATTATTTTTATTTTCATTTTTATCATTGATATTTTGATTAGTATGATTATTATCATAATTATTAATATTATCATCACAATCATTGCCATAACTAGCATTATTACGATCATGATAAATTATATCATTATTACTATTATCACTATTAATAGCATTGTTGTTGTTATTATTATCATTATTGAAAGTATTATTACTAATATTATTATCATTACTGCTACTATTGTTATTGTTGTTGTTGTTGTTGGAAAAACAAAAATCTTGAATTTGATTTAAATAATAAAATTGAAAACCATGAAAACATTGCAAAAGAATCAAGAAATCATAAAAAGAAAGATCAAATTATTATTTTATCATTAAAAAAACAAAATTCACAAACTTAACTTCAATGATAAAATTGAAAGCATAAAAACTTTGAAAAAAAAATTAAACAAAATAAAAAATAGAAGGGTCGAATAGAAAAATATTTATATATATAAAAATCATAATTGAAGAATTAAATTGAAAAATAATAAAATTGTAACAAAAGGAAAAAAAACAAAAATAAACAATCATAAAAGAAAGAATTGAACATGAAAAACAATAAAAATAAAGACCATAATGTATCTCTCATTACATGAAAGAGAAATAAAAAGGGTGATAAAAGAAAGGGCCACCAAATATAAATTAATCATCTTTGTATGACTCATATTGGCTATAAATAAAAGGGATATGACAAATAACAAAATGAGATAGTGGATAATGATTTTCCACCACCAAGAAGTGTTGTACATGTCACTCAAAGCGAGTGGTGCTACTCGTGTATTAGCATATTAAAAATATACAACAATAATTTTTTAATTAAAAAATATCAATGCAGTGTTAAATACATCACTACCTTTAACCAACCCCATTAATGATATATATATATATAAAAAAGATGTTAATACCCCTACACACACGATATGTTTTTTTCACCTCAATGACAGTTATGTAATTGTGTTGTTCCATTTTAAAAAAAATACTAAAACACTCTTGACCCTTATCAAACAATATTAATTTTTTGTTATTCCAGGGGTAGTTTTAATATATTTAATGAAACAACTATTATAAATTATTATAAAAATATACTAATAGGCATCGACTCCACTATTTTATTTTATTTTTTAATTTTGATTATTGATTGTTTTTCTCCTTTATTAGATCTTTGTGGCCAAATTAATAACTAATTTCTTATAAATTGTTGTATAAAGTAAATAATAGAAAACAAGGACCAAAGTGTGTAACATAAAAAACACGTGTGACCATTTTGAATTTCATGTGAAAAGGCTCACTTCAATTCCTTATTATCTTTTATCTACCTTTTTAGCTCTGTTAGTTTTTATAATTTTATTTTTTGTTTATAACTTCATCATGTTTATTTATTTTTTGATTTGAGAGAATGGAGAGAAAGTTGCTAGAAAATAAACAAGAAGAGAGAAAGTTATTGGCAGAGCCCATTTCTAGTGGCAAAAAACATTAATTTTAGTGTCAATTAGTTCTATTCAATAAAAAAAATTCCTTTGGCATGTTGTTTGTCTCTTATCTTGTTGTAAAAAATAGATTAGTGTTGAGAAATGTTTTTTCTTTATTTGATTTTGTATTTTTTGATTGATTTTAATGTTTTTTCACTTGATAAGTTGATTTATCAAGGAGTTAATGGCGTTTATTAGATTTTTTATATTAAAATAGATTGAAAAATAAATTTATAACTAACCAAACTTCAATTTTTTAGCTACCTTCAAGGTATATGGAATCTAAAATATAACTATGCATCTTTAGTCTTATTTAACTATTTGATCAAACGTTTGACTTTGATCTTTTTTTTGTATTTGTTTTGGATTTAAATTTAAATAAATTATAAAAAATTGACTTGATATTTTAATTATTATTCAATTTTTTAATGCTTCTCTAATGAATTTCTAGGTTTTTACAAGGATACTAGCATTTTGTTTCCATTATCATGTGCCTAGTATGGAAAAAATAAATTCACAAATATTCATTCATGTTTTTTTTTAAATTTTTTTAATAGATTTTTAACATAATTTCTTCCTTTTGTTCCACATAAATGATACTTAGATGGATACATTTTCTCTACACATTTCAAATGAGTTAATATATATATTAATATATATAATATTTAATTTATTTTTTTAAACACACTGGAATTTGTTTTGACATGCAGTAATATTTTTTAATAATTTTTTGTGTTAAAATATATATATTAATAATTTTTTTTATTTTTCAAAAATAAATTTTAATATTAATATATTAAAATAATTTAAAAACACTAAAAATATATTTCTTTAAATTCTATAAAACAAATAAAAAATTAAAGAAATAGAGAAAATAGTTAAAAATGCGTTGCTAACAACCTCTTGTTTACATTTTTTGTTTCTGTATTGTGAAAAAAATCTTTATTCCGTCTGCCAGCAGAGCGCGGACACGTGACTAGTGTGTATATATATATATCAAACACCACTTACTAAATCAGTTTAGTCACTCTGCCTTTCTTTCTTCAAAACCTATTTTAGAAACGCACACTACTAATCTCAAAACCCTAGAAAGTAAATCAAATCATGTGGAACGACACCGGAGAGCAGCATATAGCGCCTCCGGGGACGGCTGGGCCGTCGATCCCACCGCCTCCACCGTCGCAGCCTTCCTACACCGTACTGGCACCGTCGCAAACGGTGTCGAATCCAGCGGATGCGGAGGCGAAGCTGGAGGAGAAGGCCAGGAAATGGCAGCAACTTAACACGAAGAGGTACAGTGATAAGCGGAAGTTTGGTTTCGTCGAGACGCAAAAGGAGGATATGCCGCCGGAACACGTGAGGAAGATTATAAGGTGAGTGTCGATTTTCATTTCTGGGTCTGTCGGGGTTTGAGGGGATTTGGTTTGTAGAGTTGCGGCTCTGGTTTAGCGCTTTGTGTTTTTTTTTGGTGCGGTGGTGTTTGGGCGTCCTTTCTGTTTTCTCAGCTTAGAACGGCAGTGGCTGGTTTCTTCCTTTTTTGATTATTTTGTGAAAAGATTATTTTTTGCTTTTTTTATGGTTTGTTCGTTCTTTTTTCAGCTGTTTTTGAATTGGATTTTGGCATTCCTGTTTTTTTTGAATGTTTAAAATTGGCGTTTTAATCCGTTTTCGGATTTTATTGAAGTTTAAGTCGTTTGTATCTTTTAGCATCGAAATTTTGGTCATTGCAGGAAATTTGACATGTAATATGCAGTGTTTTTGTGTTTTTTTTACGCCTAATCGCTATTTTGACTGCGAGGAGAGATGCTCGTATAGATGGGTGGGTTGCTTTATTTTTGTTATCGCCTTGAGTATTTTGATTGATCTTTACTTGTTAAATTTGATATGGTCTTGTCTTAAACAGGGACCATGGTGATATGTCCTCGAAGAAGTATCGCCATGATAAACGTGTGTATCTTGGAGCTCTTAAATTCATTCCACATGCAGTATACAAGCTTCTTGAGAATATGCCAATGCCCTGGGAGCAGGTTCGTGATGTGAAGGTTCTATACCATATTACAGGAGCGATCACTTTTGTGAATGAAATTCCATGGGTTGTTGAACCTATTTACTTAGCTCAGGTATGCTGATTCGCTCTCAATGGCAAAGATGTAGATGTGGGTCATATGTTGTTTTGCAATTGATACTTCTTAGATTTTGTTTATGATAATTGACCAACTTTCTCATATTTTCATAGTGGGGGACAATGTGGATCATGATGCGAAGAGAAAAGAGGGATCGGCGGCATTTCAAGAGAATGAGGTTTCCACCTTTTGATGATGAGGAACCTCCTTTAGACTATGCTGATAATTTGTTAGATGTTGATCCTCTAGAGCCTATTCAATTAGAGTTGGATGAAGAAGAAGACTCTGCTGTCTATACTTGGTTTTATGACCATAAGCCTCTTGTTAAAACGAAGCTTATCAATGGTCCTAGTTACAGGAAGTGGCATCTCTCTCTTCCAATAATGGCGACTCTTCACCGTCTGGCAGGACAGCTTCTTTCTGATCTAATTGACCGCAACTATTTTTACTTGTTTGACATGGAGTCGTTCTTTACGGCCAAAGCATTGAACATGTGCATACCTGGTATGAATTCTGCTCTAATATGCTGTGTATGCATCTGTGTACATACCTTGCATAAATTTGTACTTATTTTTCATTCTTAGAAGTGCATTCTCTCATAGGATGAAAATGAAGTTGTTCTAACTTTCGATAACCTACTGAGTAGAGTCTGTAGAATCACTGTCAGTCTGACAAGTTGTGATCACTAAAGTAATGAAAAGTGAAATATTGGTGATAATTGTGCTGTGGAACTACAACAGTTACTTAGATTTAGCATATGATTGTCGATGCTAGACTCAACATAGGTTGCAGATATTGGCTCATCTGTTGTGCTGGTGTTTCAATCAACAATACTCTAGACTCTTCTGGGTTAGAGATGCTTTTAAGCTATTTAATTTAAAAATCACTGGCTGATAACTCTACAAATTATTTTAGATGGTAGTTTGCGCACTTTTGGGTTTTGTGACGGCTACTGATCAAATTATCCTTATGAATTGTCCTGGATGCCTAATATATTTCTATGTGGTTGGTTCGATTGATTTCAAACTATTTTTGTTCTCTTGTAGGTGGGCCTAAGTTTGAACCTTTGTATCGTGACATGGAGAAAGGTGATGAGGATTGGAACGAATTCAATGACATCAACAAACTCATCATTCGGTCACCTTTGCGGACAGAGTATAGAATTGCATTTCCTCATCTTTACAATAATAGGCCCCGGAAAGTAAAACTTTGTGTGTATCACACTCCCATGATCATGTACATTAAAGCCGAGGATCCTGATTTACCTGCTTTCTATTATGATCCTTTGATACACCCAATAACCTCCTCTAACAAGGAACGCCGTGAAAAAAAGACTCATGATGACGATGACGATGATGAGGATTTTGTTTTGCCAGAAGGGGTGGAACCTTTTTTGGAGGATACACAGCTTTATACCGACACCACAGCTGCTGGCATTTCCTTGTTATTTGCTAACCGACCTTTTAACATGAGATCTGGACGGATGCGAAGGGCAGAAGATATACCCCTTGTGTCGGAGTGGTATAAGGAGCACTGGTAAGATTCTAATTTCTTTTGTGCTGTTCACATGTATAGCCCTTTAGTGTTGTGCATGAAAAACCTTTATTTTTTTGTTGTGTTTCCAGTCCTCCATCATATCCTGTCAAAGTTCGAGTAAGCTATCAGAAATTGTTGAAATGTTTTGTTTTGAATGAACTGCATCATAGACCGCCAAAAGCTCAGAAGAAGAAGCACTTGTTCCGGTCATTAGCAGCAACTAAATTCTTCCAAACCACAGAGCTAGATTGGGCTGAAGCAGGTCTCCAAGTTTGTAAGCAGGGGTACAACATGCTGAATCTATTGATACACCGGAAAAATCTAAATTACCTCCACCTTGATTATAATTTTAACTTGAAGCCTGTGAAGACCCTTACGACAAAGGAACGCAAGAAGTCACGGTTTGGGAATGCTTTTCATCTTTGTCGTGAAATCTTGCGTTTGACAAAGCTTGTGGTTGATGCCAATATACAATTCAGGTTAGGTAATGTTGACGCTTTCCAATTGGCTGACGGTCTTCAGTATACGTTTTCCCATGTTGGTCAGTTGACAGGAATGTACAGATACAAGTATAGGCTGATGCGCCAGATAAGAATGTGCAAAGATCTTAAGCATTTGATATATTACCGCTTCAATACTGGCCCAGTGGGTAAGGGACCCGGTTGTGGATTTTGGGCACCAATGTGGAGGGTATGGCTATTTTTCCTACGTGGCATAGTGCCTCTTCTTGAACGGTGGTTGGGTAATCTTCTTGCAAGACAGTTTGAAGGGCGCCATTCAAAAGGAACTGCCAAGACTGTTACAAAGCAGCGTGTTGAGAGCCACTTTGACTTGGAACTCCGTGCTGCTGTCATGCACGATGTTCTTGATGCCATGCCAGGTTGTCATCTTTGTTATTTTGTCCTTTTGATGTTCATTTCCTCTTTGTATCTTTTTGCATTCTATCTATTTGTTATGTTTGTCTAATTGTGTGATATCAATTTTCAGAGGGCATTAAGCAAAATAAGGCTAGAACGATACTGCAGCACCTTAGTGAGGCCTGGCGCTGCTGGAAAGCAAACATTCCATGGAAGGTTCCTGGTTTACCAGTTCCCATTGAAAACATGATACTTCGGTATGTTAAGTCAAAAGCAGACTGGTGGACGAATGTTGCTCACTATAATCGTGAGCGTATCAGAAGGGGTGCGACTGTTGACAAGACAGTGTGCAGAAAGAATCTTGGAAGACTGACTCGGTTGTGGTTAAAGGCAGAACAGGTAATTTAACGTGTTTTGATATTTCTTTTTCTTAAATATATTCCTGTGATGTCTCTGCTACTACATGCTATAAATAAGTGGACTCCATGGCTTATCGCTTGTCCTATACCTGTGTGGCTCACCAGAGCATCCTGCAGTAATTCTTTCTATTTTCATTACCTTCTAGGAACGTCAACACAACTATTTGAAGGATGGCCCATATGTCACTCCAGAAGAAGCTGTTGCGATTTACACAACTACTGTCCATTGGTTGGAGTCCAGAAAGTTTTCACCAATTCCATTCCCTCCCTTGTCATACAAGCATGACACTAAGCTGCTTATCCTGGCTTTGGAAAGGTTGAAAGAGTCATACAGTGTGGCTGTGAGATTAAACCAACTGCAGAGGGAAGAACTAGGTCTTATTGAACAAGCTTATGATAACCCCCATGAGGCTTTATCACGGATCAAGCGTCACCTGCTCACTCAGCGTGCTTTCAAAGAAGTGAGTTGACAATTGAGCCTGTAGTAGCTTTGGCTTTGTTCTATGCAGTGTGTTATTACGGATATTTGGATTGAAATTGAGCTGTTCTTTTTCCTTTTTCAGGTGGGCATAGAGTTCATGGATTTGTACAGTTCTCTGATTCCAGTTTATGAAATTGAGCCTCTTGAAAAAATAACAGATGCTTATTTGGACCAATATCTGTGGTATGAAGGTGATAAGCGCCACCTCTTTCCAAACTGGATTAAACCTGCAGATTCCGAGCCACCACCACTGCTTGTCTATAAATGGTGTCAAGGCATAAACAATTTGCAAGGTATCTGGGATACAAGTGAGGGGCAGTGTGTGGTGATGCTTCAGACCAAGTTTGAGAAGTTCTTTGAGAAGATCGACTTGACAATGTTAAATAGGTTAATATTCCTCAGCTCCCCTGCATATGTTATGTTAGAGAAAGTTTCCAATCTTTATTCATTTATATCTCTTCCACTTTCAGGCTTCTTCGGTTGGTCCTTGACCACAATATTGCTGATTATGTGACTGCCAAGAACAATGTTGTCCTTTCCTACAAGGACATGAGTCACACGAACTCGTATGGTTTGATACGTGGCCTTCAGTTTGCTTCTTTTGTGGTGCAGTATTATGGACTTGTGCTGGATCTCCTGCTTCTTGGATTGACCCGGGCCAGTGAGATCGCTGGTCCGCCACAAATGCCAAATGAATTTATCACCTACTGGGATACAAAGGTTGAGACACGACATCCAATTCGTCTTTATTCCAGGTACATAGACAGGGTGCATATATTGTTTCGGTTTACTCATGAAGAGGCCCGAGATCTAATACAACGATATCTCACTGAACATCCTGATCCCAACAATGAAAATATGGTTGGGTATCAGAACAAGAAATGCTGGCCTAGAGATGCAAGGATGAGGCTTATGAAACATGATGGTATGTAGTCCGTAACTTCCAAGTTAAATTAATTTTTGTTGGGATTCTTTATTTTGCTTAAAAAAGTAATGCTCTTTTGTGAATATCTTTTCAGTCAATCTTGGGAGGAGTGTTTTCTGGGACATGAAGAATCGTCTCCCTCGAAGCATCACAACTTTAGAGTGGGAGAACAGCTTTGTTTCTGTTTACAGCAAGGACAACCCAAACCTGCTTTTCAGCATGTAAGTATTCTCACTCTTGCACTGAAATTTTACTCGTGTATGCACATGCTTGAAGTCATTCTGATTATTTAATTTTTAAGTTTCTATTAGTGATATTGGTTTGAACTTTGATGTTGGTGTATTTATGCATCCAAAACCTAGTTACTCCTGCAATTTGGTTCTAACATGATAACATACCATCCTTTTGAATTCTTGTAATTTGTTCTTGGTGTGCTTTTCTGTTTGCTTATGTCGATTTAGTTATGCCTCACCTTTTTAATGTGCAAAGATGTCTTTCTAATCTTGAAATAGCATCTGGGTTTATTCTTTGTTTTGGGGAGGGTGGGGAAGTGACACTTTAATTTGGCCAGGTATTGTTTAGTAACGTATGCATTTATTAGTAACTTTTTTCCCCAACATTAAGTGCACAGGGCTTGAACCTTAACATGTTTGTAAGGGTTCCAAACAAAATTTCTAAGTGGATGGTTTTTCTTTATATTATTGTTGCAAGAGCTTGTATCTTGGGAAAACAAAAATTGTGAGGCATTGATTTCCTTGCTAAAATAACCGGTACTGCCAATTTGCAGGTGCGGGTTTGAAGTTCGGATACTTCCTAAAATTAGAATGACTCAAGAAGCATTCAGCAATACAAGAGATGGTGTTTGGAATTTGCAGAATGAGCAGACCAAGGAACGGACTGCAGTTGCTTTTCTACGGGTTGATGATGAGCACATGAAAGTGTTTGAGAATCGTGTGAGACAGATTCTGATGTCCTCAGGGTCAACTACTTTCACAAAGATTGTTAACAAATGGAATACAGCCTTGATTGGTAATTACTGCCTTTTGCTAATCACTTTGTCCTTTGTGCTTATATTTTATTCGCTGAAATTTTGTTTTGATTTTTTCCGTTTCTATTTGTAGGATTGATGACATATTTCCGCGAAGCAACGGTGCATACTCAAGAGCTGTTAGATTTGCTTGTAAAATGTGAAAATAAAATTCAAACCCGTATCAAGATTGGGCTAAACTCAAAAATGCCAAGCAGGTATGTAATTGTACTCATGAGAGTTAACTCCATGTTTTAGCTGCTGGTGTTTAGCTTGAAATTTTGTTCTTAATTTAACTTCTGTTTCAGATTTCCTCCTGTAATCTTCTATACACCAAAAGAAATTGGAGGACTTGGCATGTTATCCATGGGTCACATATTGATCCCTCAAAGTGATCTTCGATATAGTCAGCAAACAGATGTTGGTGTAACACATTTCAGGAGCGGAATGAGTCATGAGGAGGACCAGCTGATTCCAAATCTTTATCGGTACATTCAGGTAAGCTGAAATAAATCATGGCTGTTGGGTACAGTGATTTTGGAGTATTTGCTTGACTGTTCTGAGCCATACTGCTTTGTTGACAGCCATGGGAGAGTGAGTTCATAGACTCACAGCGGGTTTGGGCAGAGTATGCATTGAAGAGGCAGGAAGCGCAGGCTCAAAATAGGCGTCTAACACTTGAAGATTTGGAAGTAAGTTTTTCCTTTAGTCCAATTTGGAGCCTCCTCATGTGTTGCCTTGAATTTGGACTTATTTTATGTAGTCTTTGTGAAGTTCTCACTGAAGATTGTTTTTTCTAAATGCTTTCTAATTGCATTGACAGGATTCATGGGACAGGGGAATTCCACGCATTAATACTCTTTTTCAGAAAGATCGTCACACTTTAGCATATGACAAAGGGTGGAGAGTGCGCACAGACTTCAAGCAATACCAAGTTTTAAAACAAAATCCTTTCTGGTGGACGCACCAGAGGCATGATGGAAAATTGTGGAACTTGAACAATTATCGAACTGATGTCATTCAAGCTCTTGGTGGTGTTGAAGGAATTCTTGAGCATACCTTGTTCAAAGGAACATAGTAAGTACTTCTGTTTTGGCACATTAAGTACTGCAATTTTTTTCGCCATATTTTTAGCATTAGCATAGCTAGAAATTCATTAAATTGCATTGCCTTCGTGACATATTCTGTTCTGGCACATAGTTTTCCTCAATTCTGTCAGATGATTTTGGTTTATGATACATTCTTTTTCTTTCAATATACTGGAATTTGTGGGGTTAATTTCACACCTAATGATTACGTTACATGTTTTTGACTTTGGGGAGAAGCTGTTTTTTTTTTTTCATCAACACTTCTGTGACTACTTTCCCTGGCTTGATATTTCAGTTTCCCAACTTGGGAGGGTCTCTTTTGGGAAAAGGCATCTGGCTTTGAGGAGTCCATGAAGTATAAGAAGCTTACTAATGCACAGAGATCTGGTCTGAACCAAATTCCTAACCGTAGATTTACACTTTGGTGGTCCCCCACAATAAACAGGGCAAATGTTTATGTGGGTTTTCAAGTGCAGTTAGATCTAACCGGCATCTTCATGCATGGGAAGATCCCAACCTTGAAGATTTCGCTGATTCAGATATTCCGTGCTCACTTGTGGCAGAAGATTCATGAGAGTGTTGTTATGGACCTCTGTCAGGTCTTGGATCAGGAACTGGATGCTTTGGAAATTGAGACTGTGCAGAAAGAAACAATCCATCCAAGGAAAAGTTATAAAATGAACAGCTCCTGTGCAGACGTTCTCCTTTTTGCTGCCCATAGATGGCCCATGTCAAAGCCTAGTCTTGTGGCTGAGTCAAAAGATGTGTTTGACCAGAAAGCAAGCAATAAATACTGGATAGATGTACAGCTGAGATGGGGAGACTATGATTCACATGATATTGAGCGCTATACTAGGGCCAAATTTATGGATTACACAACAGACAACATGTCTATATATCCATCTCCAACTGGTATGTTTTCCTTCTGGGTTCCCGTTCCTAGCTTTCGTAAGTTATTCTGTTATAAGTTAAATCATGCTCTTTTTTTTTTTTTTGGTTCAGGGGTTATGATTGGGCTTGATCTAGCGTACAATTTGCACTCTGCATTTGGCAACTGGTTTCCAGGGTCTAAACCGCTGCTAGCTCAAGCTATGAACAAAATAATGAAGGTGTGCTTTTCATGCTTGATACAACAGTTCTTTGGTATCGAGTTGATTGATTTATGATATAGCTGTCAATCGCTTGTTCTAACTGTTTATTTTGGTGCAGTCAAACCCAGCTTTGTATGTCTTGAGGGAGCGCATAAGAAAAGGTTTGCAGTTGTATTCTTCAGAGCCTACAGAACCATATTTATCATCACAGAATTATGGAGAGATCTTTAGCAATCAGATAATATGGTTTGTTGATGATACTAATGTCTACCGTGTCACAATCCACAAGACGTTTGAAGGGAATCTTACAACAAAACCCATAAATGGTGCAATCTTCATATTCAATCCGAGAACTGGGCAGCTATTTTTGAAGGTTTGCTTTGAATGTTGTTTTTGAAACCATCTTCTTTCATCTGTCAGATGTTCTAAAGTTTTAAACATAAACCATCTTCTTTCGTCTGTTAGATGTTCTAAAGTTTTAAACATGATCTCTGCAGGTTATCCACACTAGTGTATGGGCAGGACAGAAACGTCTGGGCCAGCTTGCCAAGTGGAAAACTGCTGAAGAAGTTGCAGCTCTTGTGCGGTCTCTGCCTGTGGAAGAACAACCAAAACAAATTATTGTGACTCGCAAAGGGATGCTTGATCCATTGGAGGTTCACTTGCTTGATTTCCCCAACATAGTTATCAAGGGAAGTGAGTTGCAGCTTCCATTCCAGTCATGCTTAAAGATAGAGAAATTTGGTGATTTGATTTTGAAGGCAACAGAACCACAAATGGTTTTGTTCAATATTTATGATGATTGGCTGAAGAGTATATCATCTTACACTGCGTTCTCTCGGCTCATTCTGATTCTCCGTGCACTTCATGTTAATAATGAGAAGGCAAAGATGCTACTCAAGCCTGACAAGACTATCATTACTGAGCCACACCACATCTGGCCTTCACTTACTGATGATCAGTGGATGAAAGTTGAGGTTGCTTTAAGGGATCTTATACTCTCTGACTATGCCAAGAAGAACAATGTGAACACCTCAGCATTGACACAATCTGAGATACGTGATATTATTCTTGGAGCTGAGATCACTCCTCCTTCTCAACAAAGGCAGCAGATAGCAGAGATTGAGAAACAGGTAATGCGTCCTCCAACTTCATTTATGTTTTTTTTGCTCTCTACTCCTTGCTTGTCATAAAAATTCTATTCTGTTGGACTTTTCAGGCCAAAGAAGCGAGTCAACTGACAGCAGTCACCACAAGGACCACAAATGTGCATGGTGATGAACTAATTGTCACAACCACTAGTCCATATGAGCAAGCTGCGTTTGGTTCTAAAACAGATTGGCGTGTCAGAGCTATATCTGCTACAAATCTCTATCTTCGAGTCAATCATATCTATGTGAATTCTGAGGATATCAAGGTACAAATTTGTGCTATATGTTTTTATTTTCCTGATCATTTCCATGAAAATATTTCCACTGTTTTTTGATGCTATACACATGATGTTGCAGGAAACTGGATACACATATATCATGCCGAAGAATATCTTGAAGAAGTTTATCTGTATAGCTGATCTGCGAACTCAAATTTCTGGGTATTTGTATGGTATAAGCCCCCCGGACAATCCTCAGGTCAAGGAAATCCGTTGTATTGCCATGCCCCCCCAGTGGGGGACTCATCAACAGGTTCATCTTCCATCAGCTCTGCCTGAGCATGATTTCCTCAATGATCTGGAGCCTTTGGGATGGATGCATACACAACCAAATGAGCTTCCTCAGTTATCACCACAGGTCTGATGATTTTCTTTTAATCCATAATCGAGTGCTACCACTCTGTTTCCCGCACTCTAATGAAGGGAGTACAGTAGCATGTCTCTGATCTGCTTTCTTACCTGAATTATTTGTTCTGTGTAGGATCTCACGGCTCATGCTCGGGTTTTGGAGAACAACAAGCAATGGGATGGAGAAAAGTGCATCATCCTGACATGTAGTTTCACTCCAGGATCATGCTCATTAACTGCATATAAGCTTACTCCTAGTGGTTATGAGTGGGGACGTGTCAACAAGGACACAGGAAGCAATCCTCATGGTTACCTGCCAACTCATTACGAGAAGGTTCAGATGCTCTTGAGCGACCGCTTCCTTGGTTTCTACATGGTGAGTTACAAGTCCAGAATGCTCAAGACTTCTTTAATCCCATGTCCAAAAAATGGATGGTTGTTTATTACGAGCAATTCTTTGTTTGTTAAAGCAATGCTGTTTGATTTTGGGGACTAACTGGCTAGGTATCTCTCTTTTGTTTGCATAGATTCCTGATAATGGGCCATGGAATTACAATTTTATGGGAGTGAAGCATACAGTGAGCATGAAATATGGAATCAAGCTGGGGACACCTCGAGAGTATTACCATGAGGACCATAGGCCAACACATTTCCTGGAGTTCAGCAACCTGGAGGAGGGTGAGACCGCTGAAGGCGATAGAGAGGATACATTCACCTGAAGTATAATAATACTATTTCCGTTGTCGATGGATGATGGTGCTTTTTGAAACTGAAGTAATTTGGCGGCTGAGGATAAAATCATGTCAAACCTTTGTTGTTTTTTGTTGTATTAGTATTGTATTTTCCTGATGAGGTTAACTTACCCTGTTAAGTTTGCGACAGCGCTCTTTATAAGCTGTAAATATTTGCTAGAAGTTAATTGGTGAATGAGCTTCGGCCCTATTTTCTGCCTTATTTTTTATATTTGCATGTATTCTGCAAATCAAATCCATGTCCCTGCTCGATGCCAAGTGCCTCCTCTATTGGGAAACGATCATGTCCCTGCTCGATGCCAAGTGCCTCCTTTATTGGGAAACGATCAGTAAAATGTAAAAGAGGATAAAAAAGTCTAATAAATACATGAATTTTAACAAATGTTAATTATTTAGATATATAGAATAATTGTGATAAAAATGGCTTGAACAACACTCCCTATCATTGATTCATCCCAGATCTTACATTTGAATAAAATACAGAACAACACTCCCTATCATTGATTCATCCCGGTTCAAGAATCTTTTACATTTCTAATTTTCTTTCAAAAAACAATCTGGACACACTAGACATATACCAAGCCCACACTCAATAATTACAAGCACAACCAATTTTGCAGCCGCAAAACGATGCTGTTACCAGTATCATCATTCCTGACAACTCTGATAATTGGATTTGCCAGTGCTACCATGTGTCCAACTAGAAACTCAATCCAAACCTGATTTTTACATGCGCAAACACTTTCAGCTATCATGAGTAGTTTCTTGTACAATCTCTTTCACTTCCCGGTTCGCATCCTTGTCCTCCGAGATGAAGTCCGAGCTGTCCTCGGCAACTGATATTCCATCATTATAATCAACAGCCTGGGGGGCCTTGAACAATTCATCATCTTCCAGTTCAGATAATCTCTCCTTTGACTCTCCCTTCAGCAGCTCTACCACATCAAGCATTGTGGGTCTTCTCTCTGGTTGATTCTGAGCGCACACAAGAGAGACAAGGACAACCCTTTTCAGCTCTTCCTCGTCGTACTTCCCATTCAGCCTGGGATCTGCCAGTTCACTGAATTTCCTCTCACAAGCCAACGGCTGAGCCCACTCTGTAATTGTTCTTTTAACAGTGGAACTCAGCTTCTCAAGTGGTTTCTTGCCAGTTGCAAGCTCTAGCAAAAGAATGCCAAAGCTGTACACATCACAGCTCTCTGATGCTTTCCCGAGCATAGCATATTCGGGGGCAAGGTAGCCAAGGGTACCTTTGACTCTAGTGGTTACATGTGTTGCACCCTCAGGGATTAACTTTGCAAATCCAAAATCAGCAACCTGAGCCTGGAAATCTGAATCTAGTAACACATTGCTAGCTTTGATGTCTCTGTGGATGATATGAGGGGTCGCATGGTGGTGAAGATAACTGGAATAATCAAACAATGAAATGAGCTATATGGCAGCACGATGAGAAAGGAAGGTGTTGAGTATGATATACTTACACAATTCCCTCAGCAGAACCTATCGCAATATTCATCCGCCTCTTCCAGTCGAGAAGACATTCTGAAGAGTGCTGCCCATGAAGGTGAGAGAGAAGGCTCAAATTTGGCATGTAGTCATATACAATCAGACGCTCTTGCCCTTCAGCACAATAACCACGTAAACTCAGCAGATTCTTGTGCCTAACACGTGCTAATATCTCGACCTCAACAGCAAATTCCATATCTGCCTTGTTGCTCCAGACCTTTAACCTTTTAACTGCAATCTGCATAAATATCTCTTTCAGAATTTGGATCTAATTTATGGAAAAGGTCATTATACTGTGCTCCAACTTAAAAATAAACCCAGAGAATAAAAAAAAAGATCAGAAGGTGTCTCCAATGGACAACCCAGAAATTAAAACTTGAGAATTCCATAGTAGAGTCCCAAGTTAAGAACCTAAATAGGGGATGGGGAACACTTAGTCTCCGCTACATCCCCAAAGCTAGTGGGTCTAAAAAAAGTCCTGTCATCGTCTAGAAGATAAAGGATTACAATAGTCCATAGCTTTCCATAGGATAACATAAAGATCAAGCAAGAAACATATGAGCCTCCAACTCTTTTAAGGACAGCTTCTGCCAGACACTTTGGCACAATAGAACTACTGAAGAATACAAATTTCAATTTTCTCACTTTTTAAGTGATTCCATGAGCACCAGTCAATTGCTTTTCCAAAACGCATGTGAATTACTAGTTAATGGACAGTTACAATAAGAAGCTCAACAAGATCATAGCTTGATAATCAAAGTCAATCTAGTTACAAAATGCAACACCAAACCTAAGAAATATATCAGAAAAGCAGATTATATAGCATTTAAACATAACACCAATCCACTTCACAAAAATTTCCTTAATAAGTAGTCCTTTGAAAGAGCATATATAACCACTTTATTCCAAGGAAGTTTCAACAACTAAAATTGTTAGGTGGGGTCTTGGGAAGAAAAATTTAGAGATAGTCCTATCTTTTGATGTTTGGCATGAAGTGACTGATCTCAATGTTTAAATATGCACCATAGCAGTAGCAAGTTGAAGACTTACTGTTGCCGCAAGTAATGGCACCTGTTAGCATTCTTGCTATAAGAACTAAAACTATTCTTCGTTGTCTAATCAAAAGAAATAAAGACATTTAACCATAAAGCTCACATTTCTGTAATAGAACATCAATTCTTTGGAAACTTGTTGGAATTACTATAAATTACTCAAGGTTCTAAATTCTGAGTTGCTTTTTATGTGCTTTGGATAAGTTCAAGAAAACAATCAAACAAACAAACAGCCATACAAATTACCCAAATACACCTGTTGGTTTACCCGGAGGATGTAGCTGGATTTAAAATCAGTTATGTAATTGTCATTGACCAAAAACAATCGAGATGAATTTGTCTTGGCCTACCTAAAATAAACCCAATGGTGAGCTGATAGCCAGAGACATGTTGCCACACTAACAATTCACACCTACATCTTTAACAAAAGAATTGCCTAAGCTTGCAATCTTTAAGTGTGATATCTTTTACATGTACAAACACTCACTTACGATTACTAAATAGCAAGAAAAGCACAAGTACTTTTTGTTGCACTTCTGTATTACTGACCACTACATAAATTTTCCCATCTGTCGAGAAGCATCAATTCTATCAGGTGAAAGTCATTGTTTATCTATTACTGCACAATAAACGAGTGGGGAAAGAATTAAAAGAGCACTAAACATCTCACTGACAATTCCATTTCCTTAGTCATCAAGTGAGTTCTGCATGGTTTAATGGAAGATTAGAATATGACTGGAAATCACAGACATAAAGGCTGATTCCACACTATGCATCATGCAGAAAAGACATCTAATAACTGGTACCTCAGTTTTCAGCAATATCCATAAATAAATCCTCATTAATAGATGAAATTGAGAGATTTGGCTTAGTGGGCTTGAAGCAGGGCCCACCAGAGAGGGCTTGACCCACCTTAACCTCTCCTAATAACACTTCACAGGTATAAATGTGATCCGTAGCCCTTAACCATTAATAATGGACAAACAGCACACATTTCATTGGCCAAGTATGCTCCCTCCCCCCTCTCACTATATACAACCCTCACATCACTTATCTTGGGACTATTCCCTCATTTCTCAAGAACATACTTCCCAACTTCACAGTTTCTCTTTCTATTCTCCTCTTTCATTCCCTTTTAAGGAAGTCCTACCATCACATTCACCTCACAAAGGATATCCACATTCTGATCTTTTCACTGTGATGTGTGTTGCACTCATTAAGATACTCAAGTTCTATTTGTACATGACATGCCTCGGCCCAAAAGAATCATCCTGTCCACATCGTTTCAGCTTCATCACCACTATTGTTGTACAAAAAGAAATGCACTTAGTAAAATGATTCAAGGAACACTTTCTCCGTAAAATGTGCCAAGCAAAGTAATTGAAGGACAACATATTGCCATGAAGTGGAAGGAAAAAAACCATCAGATAACTTCAACCACATGCTAATATGACCTACTTGCTAATGACAGAGTAAGAAACACCCTGATACCAGACCCCTTTTCTCCTAGCAGGAATAGTATTAGCAACACTAGTTCAGTAACAGTTCAATAATCAAATGAAAATCCTACTTGTCGTGATACACAGAAGACAATTTTGAACGCTCACCCTGCCCCCCACTCTATCCCAACCCATCTGATATTGCTCTTTATTAGCACAATTCCTAAAAAGGAATTAGCTCCCAAAAAAAAATTTAATGGAAAAAAAGTTCTTAATTGCTAGCCAAAGCTTAAATATCTAAGATTTTGTTATTTCAATCAGTTATGATTTCGTAGTCTTGTCCTCTAATGTCATGAATCTGGATACCGTCTACACTAGCATGAAGGTCCACTCGCATAGGCTCAACAATCAGACCAGCTCATGCAGTTTTCATAAAAAGATTTGATTTGGATCCAATATCAAAATAAGGCAAGAGAATCAAGCTAAAATATATAGAATCAAACAATAATCCAAAGAACTGAAACTAAACAATCTTGAGCAAATAACCAAGGTTCAAAAAACAGATAAAAACTTGAAAAATGACAGCATCTTTAGTTTGCATCCTTTTTTTTTCTTTTGCTCTAAATGGACATCAATAAAAATTAACAAATGAGCTCAATGAAATTGCTACAAAGACTTATTGCGTGTGAAAAACTACTATATACCCGTCAACCATTAACATGAGAACAAAATGCCTAAACAAAAATGGAGGCCCAAAACATGGAAGCTGGAAATCAAACCATCACCTGTGATCCATCCCAAAGCTGACCCCAATAAACACTGCCAAATCCCCCTTCTCCCAGCTTGTTATCATAATTGAAGTTGTTAGTTGCTGAGTGTAATTCCTTCAAGGAGAAAATCCGCCATGTTGGTTGCTTCTTTCCTCCCTCTTTCCTAAAAAACCGATCACAAACTCACATTAATAAATCATTTTTATTATTATTCACCTCACTTCAGCAAGTGGACAAAAATCCCAACAGAGATTTCTGAGAGCAACAAAACATCTACAACAAACCCTCCCTATTTAAAACCCAATGAAGTCGTAGCATCCCAAGAAAACACTAGAAATTGATTACAGCATCTAAACCCTTAAATCTAAGTCAATGAATTCTCATTTGCCACCCAATTCCCTCGACTATTAATTTCTAGTCCTGTATTTCAA